TTAGAAGCTGAAGCTGTAGCGATGCGGGGAGCACTTTACCTTCTCTCCTAGCACACGCTATACGACAGCCTGCTCTGTCTGTGCCCAGGGCGTTACACGGTGTTCATTCAAATGTGCTCAGGAACGTGGTTTTGATAAACACAACCTATGCAATATCTGACAAAGTCGTAAAATCGGGGGACAACAACTTTCAACCGCAGCCACTGTTTCAGAGGCTGAATTTGGATCCAGAGCTGGAGAGCGGAAAGCCTCCATCCCTTATCGTGCCACTCCATTAAAATTACACCCTCATGGAAACTCTCAGTGGAGAAACTATCACTGAAGTATTAGTAAAATCTTCCTGAACTATTAATACATTTAATACAGTCTGTGGGAGCTTTAATCCACTGCGGGGACTGATTATGTAAGTGCACAGGCATGAAGATGCTGTTTTTATCCTCAGTTGAAATGACCTTTCAGTTTAAACAGTTTTGTTTATGATCAAAATCTTCCTGAATCTACGGGAAATTATTTTCTTTCAGAGGGGATTATATTTGGATTTGCAGTAAACTGGCAAGTATGGCTGAGATTAAAGTCCATTTGGATGGCAGGATGTGTGTGTGCTTTTCTGATTGCAAAGGGTAGAAGTTATGAAAGCATTTTAAAAACATTTGTGTCACAAAATTCAGATGTCCCATAACCCAGAAATATGCTGCAACTTGGTTTTTGAGCTCAGGTCATTGGTCTATGTAGCCAATTCATGCAGTTCAAAAAGATTGGCCATGAGCATCAGGCTGGATTTACACCTAATTTTGGCATTCCACAGATTGTTTTGCTTTTCTGCCACACTTTGGTGTGAGGAGGTGCTGTGAGATCATTTTGATTTTTAGCTTTCAGGCTCTTCAGAGCAACAACACAGCAAAAGGTTTCTGATGCATACTCATGCCAAAAGAAATAGATGTCGTGAAGGAAAGAACAGGCAGAAATAGTGAAAAATTGTCTCTCATTCACCTCGTAGCTATCACTCCCAAGCTATTTAGCGGAACATTATGTACTGAGGGTTTTCAGTCCCAGGCTCATTTCAGTTCAGAAATTTCCCTGCACAGGAGGTCTGAGCGGAGGAAGGGAAACAATGATCTCTGCAACATTTTCCTCTGATCTGCAAGCTTGGAGACACTTCTCCAATCTGAAAGGAAAGATGTATTGAGGCCTGTATGGATTTTGGAGTGTCTGTGGCAGCTCCAGTGTTCATTTCTTTCTCTTCTTTGGGGATGATGCAGAAGGGAATAACTGAAATGAGAAAAGAAAAAATACATATAAAGTTAAAAAAGGCAAATCAGGCAAAAGAAAAGTCCCATCTTTGGCACCAGTTTCATTCAACCAACAGAAACAACTAAAACCCTGTGTTTGGACAATTTTATCTCTCTAGGTTTACTTTTGCAGTTTGGGAAAGGTACCACTGCAGCACGGTTAGACATATTCCTTGATTTAGTTCACTCCAGGTCCCAATGAAGAAGACCTGGTCTGACTCTGGACTGGGCTAGCTGCCCAAACAGGTATCTGGAGTTCCTTCACTGTTTCTTCCCTGCTATTACTGAGTAGCGAGGTAGTGAGATTAGCACTGGGTTGGATGTATTTGTTCATGCTGCAATTGCGTCTCTGAGCAACATGCTAGTATGTCCAGCCTGGTTTTCAGACAAAATGACAGCAGTCCCCACAAATAATTAGACCAATTCCTACATGCTGTATTTTATTTATGCCATTGAAATAAAATGTAAATATATCCTCAGGATTGGGTATTTTTAACAAGGAATTGGGTTAAGAAAAGGCTCCATGATCCCAGGGTCCTTTTCACAGTAGGCTCCAAAAAATGTACCTCATTATAAAATACACCTTCCCAAGGAATCACAAGACATGAGAAATCAAAAGAGAATTACTAAAAGCAAAAGCTCTCCAGCAGAAAATCAATTTCAGCTACTTTCACCTTGCCCCAGGGAAACCAGCAGAGACACTAAGTGGGGTGTGGGAAAGGTCTCATACATCTTCCTGGAACTGCACAAGGCAGACCTCCAGACGGGAGCTTTTCTTTCCAAGACAGCTCTGCTCTAATTAGGGACTTCTGCAAAATTGGTATATTGCAGTTCCAAACAGTGTCTGGATGATTCCCATATCAAATTTCTTTGGCTTAAAAAAAAATTATGTCTTTGTCCTTGTTCTAATTGACAGCCTTACAAATGCAGGTGGACTGAGGGATGAAGGTCAAACTGAGCTTATTGTGCTTAATAGGGTAAGGAAGAAAAATTAGCGGAAAGTTACGCACAAAAAAATGTTCTTCTGTTGTTTTTTTCCTGGCCATCATTCTGCCTTTTCAGGGGTCTTTGTGCATTTTCAGATGTATCTTCAGAATGAAAAGAAAGCAATTGCCTTTAAATAAAACTATTATATGAGGGGCTTTCCTGTAATACTTAATCTACTGATGTACCAGACAGAATCTCATTTATGGACTCAACAATCTATGTTGGGTGGACATAAAATTAATTTTCTATATAGGAAAGTACATCCTTCTCCTTAGTCAACCTTTTCCAGAGGCAGTTTGAGAGTTTAAACCTCTGTCTGTTTCCTATAATTCTCAGCATTCAGACCTTTCTGGGTAATATGGTATCGTTAAAGCTGGTCAACATGTTCTAAAAACCCTGTATTCCCCCTTGGAAATGAAGTCTGACTGACATTTATCACTTAAGATTGTGATTAATATCACCTGTGCATTCCAGTGAGAAGGCAAAACAATTTTTTTTTTTTTCAGGTCAGTATAAATCTCTGTCTCTTAAAGTTATTTCCCTGGTTCTCATCGCTAATTTCTTTACTGTCCTTTGCTTCAGACACAGACTGTATCTTCTACACTGACCTATGCTGCTATGGTACAACCTGGGGTGGCTGTGGCAGCTCAGCCCCAAAGAGCAAAGGAGTCCAGAACTTCTCCCTTAGAGATACAGCTTGTGGGATGGCAGCTGCCTTGAAAAATATAGAATTAAAAAAAAGGGCAAATGTGCAATGTTGCAGTATTTCTTAAATATGTTTCGGGGTTTTTTTATAATATTCTATGAAAGTTTCAAATCTTCAAATTTTCATTCTCATGTAGGAGGAAAGCAACTGAATATGTGAATTTTGCATGACATGGGCATTTTTGGCTCTAGTCTGCTCTAAACCCCAATGTTAGCTTATCACAGGGTAGCAAACCACTTTTGGCTTCACTTCACACTTCTGTTGGTCAAGGTGGGCTCAGATTCTCTGCAGCTGTTTCTCAGCGCAGCCCAGTTGAAGTCACTGCAACCTGCAGCACTGCAGTAGTTTATATCAGCCAGAGCTGCGTCCCTAAACTCTAATGAATATTCCAGCAGCAATGGAAATACAGTTGTCTTTATAGTGAATGAACACCTCAACAGAGTGTGTGCCATCCTTAAAAAGCTCAGCTCATAGTTTATTGGGATTTAAAATGAGATCACCTGTTATGTTGCACTGCTTGGCCTCCTGAATGCTCGCCTGACTACCCACTAGGCTTGCACAGAGCATCCAATATTGGGATTTATAATGATTTCAGATAAACGGATGTGTCCAGGGTGTAAGCAGCTTATACTACTGTGTAGCAAATGAAAAAGGTATCACTTAATGCTTGTGGCCGCTGACAAACATTACCCAAGCGTGGTTTAAGATGACTGCCAGGGCAATCCATGGCCAGTGCAAAAGAGCATAGAGAGTCCTGCCAATCTGCCTTGGGTGGTGGGATGCCTACATAGTGCTAAATCTGGGAAATAATTTGACCTTGAAGCGGCACAGAAGCTATACTGAGCAGGTGTATAAGGGGATTTTCCATATCATCTCACAAATCCACCCCATATCCTCACCAGCTGCGCTCAATCTCTGATGCTCCAGAGGAAGGTCAGAGAAAGCCCCAGGATACCCCATGCTAATTGTGGGGGAAATGAGCCTGCCTGAGTCCTAAAGCCAAAGCCCTGAAGGAAGAGACCTGATTATGCTCTGTCTTTTATGCTGAGCTGTAGGGGTTAGGAGCACAGGCAGGATGAGGACAGCTTCATCAGGATGTCCCTTCACAGAGGAGAGACAGGCACCTCTCCTCTCGCTGGAAGCGTATTTGCACGCAGGAGCGGGGGTTGTCCCACTATTTATGCAAGCAAAAAAATCCTAGGCTCTTCCCTGACTGCCTGACATTTGTTAGACGAGAGTGTAGGTACAAAATGCCCATCACAATATACAATAACCTTTAAAGATACGCCAGCAACCTCCTCTTTTATTAAGCGTGCCACGCTGGCTGAGCGGAGTAGGACGCTGTTGCAAACACCTCCCCGGCGGGACGCTACCTGCATGCTAATGCTGAGGGTGTTTGTGCACAGCCTGGCAGCGAGCGCTGGGCTCCGGCAGTTTCCATGGTGCCGTCATGGTGTGCTCTCCCTACACCTTCACTTATCAACATTTCCCACCCATCCTCCTCCCCATAATACGCTGCTCGCTCACCCTGAAAGGTCAGCCATTGTAATGATGATTTTAGCAGGGGGGAGGCAGGGAGGCCGAAGGGTGAAAAGGTGAGCTGTGTGCAGCGATGTGCGTGGGAACCGGCGCTTGCCTTACGCCGCACAATGAGAAATTAGAAAGCTTCCCCTCAAGGGAGCGGTGCTCATCAGCCCCCTCTCACTTCCCATCCCAGCCAAGTCAGATGCCCTGATGGAGTTAAAAAATGTGCAGGCGAAGTGTCTGGAGAGCCTACTTTAAATCATCAGCAATTGATGCATTAGTGTGTGGAGGGGAGAAGGGACTGCGGCTGCTAACAGAAGGAACTGATGCAAATGTTTCCAGGCATCTGTCTTTTTCCATCTCCCTCCTGCCCCCCTCCCAGTGCTCGTTTGCAGATGGAAAGAGGCAGACTTCTTCCTCTGACTTTCATCCTATTGACTACCAGGCTAAAGCACTGCATCTATTAACTGCCTTCCTTTTCTTTCTTTCTGTAGGACAGCTTCCCTGCCCGTTTTGGAGGAGTCCATTTTGTCAACCAGCCCTGGTACATCCATGCCCTGTACACACTAATCAAACCGTTCCTCAAAGACAAGACAAGGAAAAGGGTAATTAGATGGGGCCAGGGCAGGGGGGTGGATAGGAAGCTGCAGAGCCGCAGTAACTGAGTAGGTGCCTGCTTTCTTTTCTTCTTTCTTTTTCTCTCTGCATTTTTCATATGGCCTCAGAGAATTGCTGCTGTTATTAAAACTTAGAGTTTGCAATGGTCTGGATTGAATCAATAACTCAGCCAGGGACCAGAAAGCTATCACTGACAAGGTGTAGATACATTTTAATGGGACATGCTCAGGGATAGAGAGAATTGGCAATGTGGAGGGGTTGTCAGGCCTGGCTGAAGTCACCTGCACTGAGGGAAACTTCAGCTCAACTCTTTTTGTGGCAGTAAAATTTCCTATTTCATTCCTTCAGCAAGTGGACTCTTTTCACATGGTGGTAACTCATTTCCACAAAAAATGCCCATGCCTGAAGGCTGTTTGCTCACACTGCAGAAGAGGCAGGTCTTTCCCACTGAAATCCATGTGAACTGTGGTCCTGCAGACATCTTGGCCATTTGTCCTCTACAGTCTATCAAACAACCGCTGGATCATCTCTCAGAAGGACCCAGAGCCCACCCTGGGGTGTTTCTGACCAGGCAGGACAAAGGTAGTACCAGCCTGAAAGCAAAGAGGGATTAGAGAGACAAATGTCGCTGAAGCAGTGCAAAGTGGCGACACAGACCTACGCTCCTGGGAAACGTCAGTCCCGAGGTGCAGGTCTGTGTCGCCCTCTCAGATGCTGAGGACCTGCTCTTCACATCTTCTTTCAGTAAGCTCCACTATCTCCCTTTTCTTCTCACCACTCTTTGTATGAGCCTCTATCCTCTTACAGTAGCAATAATCTGTCATTATTCCTGACTTGCATTTTCCTTGATCTGGTACTTAGGAAAGTGAAAGTGTCATGTGCCAAAAGCAAGCAAATCAGGATTTGTCAGAAGTGGTCCCAGCTTAATTCTTCAGCTGCTCACCCCAAAGCTAATCCCCCTCCTCCTGCCCGCCTGCACCAGCCCTGAGCACTTCAGAAATTCCCACCTGAAACTGCAGCATCAACTAATGACTCTCCACGCCGCATTAGTGCTGCTGTTATTGTACTTAATGAAGTCAGGAATCGATGATGACTTTGAACTTTCTTTTTATTTGTTAAAGATCTTTCTTCATGGTAACAACCTGAACAGTCTTCACCAGCTAATACACCCTGAATGCCTGCCCTCTGAATTCGGGGGGACTCTTCCTCCATACGACATGGGGACGTGGGCTCGAACATTACTCGGTCCTGACTACAGTGATGAAAATGAGTACACCCACACCTCCTACAACGCCATGCACGTGAAGCATGCGTCCTCCAACCTGGAGCGGGAGGCCTCGCCCAAACCCATGAAAAGGTTAGCACTGTCTTTGAAATCATCTCTCATTTGGCTTTCCAAGATGGTTTGGCATAAATTTAGCAGGAAGGGCTCATCTGGCTCGCAGAGAGGCTGTAATTTGGCAGACATTGACTGTAAGGAGTGCTTCACCCTGGACTGCGTTCACGGTGTGGCAGGAGAAAGGAAGCCTCTCTGTGGAACCATAATTACTCGTCTGATTACTGTGAAAGAAAACAAGGGGAAATTAATGAGCCTCTGCACAGAGCATCACAGAAAGTATATCAGTGAGACGCTTTTCTGTATGGCATAGTGCGGCCAGCAGCACCACTTCAGTGCTGGTTCCTATTACTTGCTGCTGCTGTGGTGCTGCTGACCCCAGTTATTAACGATAAGGGTTTTACCTCCTCGGAAATGCAGCGCTTGTACGATGAACACCACTGCCCTCTAAAGGGAAAATGGGTTAGTCTCCTCCCGCTGCTTCTGCTCCTGCTTTCTCTGTCCGGCCCTGCTAAGGCAGCAGAACTGCTCTTTTAAGATCTCTGATTTTAGATCTAGTGGTTGTGCAATCAGCTCTGAATGCTTAAAATTGCACCTCTCGAGAGTGTCACCCTCAGTAATTTGCACTGGTTGCGGGGATGGGGTGAGGAGGGTTGGATACGTGGCACAGGTTTGTGGGTGGTACGGCAGAGCCAACACCGGCTATGGCAAGCGATGGCTGGGTTGGCTCCGGAGTGTAACATCTGCCCTTGCCTCACCCTCCGCACCACGCTCCTCAAAACTACTTTCAATGCAGATCGCAGCGATGCTTTAACTCACTGCTGCCACTTGATGAGTGCGGTGCTCACAGACACAGCGTCACTCTGCGTGACAAGGAGCGGCCATCATTTTGTCACAGCAAAATCAAAGCTGACAACACAGACAAGCCATAATGTCATGCAATTAATTTTAAAAGTCTTTCATCTTCAGAGGAAGGAGAAATGCATTTTTGATTCGCAGCTCCCTCCCAGGTCAGAGGGATGCCACGCTGCTGCAGCTGCAAAGTGAAGCCTCGTGCTGGAAACAGGCACACGTACAGCTGACGCTAAGCGCTGTGAGTCCCACCGCTCACAGGGCCACGAGACTGCAGGGCTACGACCCTTTGAAGGGTTGCAGCCATGGCAAGATGAAAAGTGGTCATCTGCATAGTCAGCAGTTCTCACTACTGACCGCCAGCCAAGACTGGGAGCCAGGATTTTACTTTACACAGCCTATCCCAGACAGCTGATTTTAAAATAACTTTTTTTTTTTTTTTTTTTAATATTAACAGTGGAACACACTGAATGATTTTAGAAACATGTTAACTAAATATCCCATTATTATTAAAACATATATCAAGAGTGTACAATTTATGTAGCTTTATAGAAAGAAATCTTCAGTTTTTAAAGCTCCAAAGTGTTAAGAGCTGTTCACAGGTAAATCTTTGCTGAGGATCAAATCCTCGGCTGCAAAGAAGGGAGGGTCTTATCATGCCCTCAGGGGAGAACCCCAGCTTGAAAATGAGTTCAGAGCCAGAAAACCCTGCCTCGAGGCAAAGCCTTCTTTTATAATCTGTTCACTAATACAAAAGTGCATTAATACAAATATGGTGAGTGGATGAATCTAATTTGTCATGTTGCCTCTGGGCAGGCTAGATCTAACTTTTAGCCTAATTTCGTTACTCGGGCGGTTAAGTGAACCATCTGATCTTGTACCCCGTGGTCATTACTGGCTGTTAGAGGTGAAAAGTTCAATGCTTCGACAGATTTTCTCCTACGAGTATTTGCTTTGGTTCTTATTCCCCTGAAATTATGGTTTGGCCTAACTTGAGGTAAAAGCCTATGCTTAGGAAGCATAATTGTGTGTTTTATTAGATTTATTAGACCAGATTTATAGCTAAGCCCTACTGAAAGCTCTACAGACTTCTACCAGCATTACGTGTCTTTATATATCCCCCCTCCTTGCTTCTTTAGGTTCATACATCTCTAACACAACGAGTCTCAGGCCATGGCTGAGATTCCTGGATACTCCAGGGATGTTTACACTATGCATAGGTGATCTCCTAGCATTAGTCTTCATCTTAAATATAATTCCCTCACAATTGCTTTATCATTTTTTACCTTATTAAAGCAATTTTGCAGTTTCATTAAAAATCTCTCCTCTCCTCCTCCACTCACAGCGTAAAAATCTTTAAACTCTCGAGTAAACATGGTGTTGCTATGCTGAAATGTTGGGTTTAACAAAAAAAAGTGGCTGACCTTTTCTTTAGCGCTTATGTTTCTCTGAAAGGGGTAAATATATGAAGACTGAGCCTTCTTGGGTTTCTGTAATTTAAGGATGAAAAACCTTGCTGAACAATTATGGGTCGTCTTCTCTCTGACTGCCCAGATATCACTGCAGGTTTACCTGCCCAGTAATTAGCTGCCAAGGAGGGTAGTGCTAATGAGAGGTGGATTTACCCCGGAGGCTGGGGGGACAGTGGTTTCTCCCCTCCCTGGAACACTGTCCCGCTGCGTGACAAGGTTGCAGGTTGCCCCTCCTGGCTCTGCAGCCATTTGCTGTAAAGCCCTACAAGCATGTCCTTGCTAGAGCTGCCACTGTACCAGCGCTGTGTTAAAGCTTTCTTAATCTTGGAGCTCAATGCTACTAGAATATCTTGGAGTCTTGCACTGTGACCACAGAGAAATGTCCCTGCGCAACGTAGTACTGCCATCCTACACCTAGAGAGAAGCTCACCATGGGCGCAACCTACTCCAAATATAGTGTCTAGCAATTTTAGTAGCAGAGATGCTGAGAAATCAAGATAGGAATTATAGATCTGGAAGAAAAATGCCAGGAAATGGAATCGGAGAGTAAGTGACCACCAAAAGTGTCTACCTTTGTACCCACTTAATCGATGTTAGAAAATGAATGCTGAGGGGGAAAAAGAAGGCATTTTCAAGATGCCAAACTGAGACCAAACTGAAGACATCACCTGGAAATTAAAATAAGTCTCAAAATGCAGACCAGGAGAAAACGCGGCACCGAGCAGCAGTAAGAGGGAGTGAAGCTGGAGCAGGTATATGCCCATACATTTGCTTCAAGACTGACAGCAGTGCTTTGGCTCCTGTCACCAGGTCAGATGCATATAAATTGAAACAAGTGTATGTGAAAGTTGTGAGGAGGGTGAGGAGAGCAGAGGGCATATTTTTCCAGCAAGATGCTATGGAAAATAGTGGTTTGTTCAGCCTCACAGAGCAAAGGTTGAAATGGATATGATTGTTCTCTACAAATACAGGAGGAAATAAAAACTGGGGATAGAGAACAGGTACTTGAGAAACAGGGCAACTTAGGCTTGAGGTCAAACAGGTATAAGCTGACCAAAGTATACCTTGGCTGCAAATTAGAGATGTAGGTTTGCTAGTCATCAGAGGAGTGAGTTACTGAAACAGCTTGTCAATATGACAATCTAACTGATAGACGGGTGAAAGGTCTGATATAAGGTCTGATATAAGGTGACTACCAGTGGTCACAGGAGACTAGGCGTGCCCCTCAAAGTCTCCTTAGGTTCCAATTTCTGCTCCCCTTAACAGCAATGGGACCAGAACATTACCTTCTCCCCAACCACAGGCAGGGGTGGTTTTTCCTGTGACTTGAAATTGCACAAGATTTGTTCTCAAAAAAGATTTCTTGTTTACTTCAGAGAATGGGGGCATTGTAGATAGGGAAAGGATTGAAAATCCTCTTAGAAAAAAACTGCCACTGAATCTAGTTAGCAACACCATCTTGAAAATCTTGAGATTTGATCTATAATGTGGAAAATCTTTAATCAAAACCATTGCAATTGTCATTTTTCCACCAGTGGCCACACTAAGCCCCACTGGGGCAAAATCAAAACAGTGGAAATTGCACTCCCATCTGCAGTATTATCTCACATCCTGGGAAAAATCCCAGAACCCAAGAACTGTATGAACAGATGGGAAACAAAGCAAAACAGCTGATGACTCTACATAATGAGTCTTAATGGCCAGGAAAAAACAACAAAAAAAGCAACAATAACAAAAATCCATTCAGAATATATCTGTTTATTAAGATTCAGCTCAGTGAAGTTTGAAATGGGCAAGGTAATAAACATGCAAACCAGCATTAATATAGTAATAGCAAAGTCAGTTCAGTCCAAGAGCTTGGCCGCATCTGTTTGATAATCCTGGGAGCAGCAATGGCAACAGACACTTCTCCTGTCTTGGGCCATCTCTTCTGAACGGTCTGCATCCATGCAGGGAGCCTGTCACTTAGGAGCTGTGGGATTTGAGAGCAATGTAAATGGTGTGAAAATTCAGAGCACAGGGAAGAAAATCACCTCCCTTTCAGCTGTGGCCAAACCTTCTGTTGAGGCCTGATGGTCAGAAAGGGGCCTTGGGTTGCTTTAGTCAACAGGGAGCTAGCACAAAAGCAAAGCATTTGCCTGAGGCACTCAGGCTGGCTTTTGCTGATGAGCTGTTGTTTTTGGGAACAGCTGGAGGTTTTATCTGGGTGTGCAGTGTAATGAATAGTTATGTTGGATGGTTAAGCCTAGCAGTTAGAGTCAGAGACTGCTCTGAGCATATCTCTGTGCCAATAGGGCATAGTCTTTGGCCAGCCACAGTGGGAGAAGCATGTCCTTGACTGGTTGGGTACCTAACCGCAGTGAGGGAGTATCGCCAGTTGGAGAGATGGATTCAGTGACTGGGGGACATGTGAAGGAGCTCAGTTCCTTGAAGCATTTCCTTTTTCTGCGATGCCACCCTACTGTTAAACTTGGGTCCAGCCGCAGCAAGGGGTTACTTGCAGTAGCACATTGCCTCCCTGTGACTCACTTTTCTTTACAAGATCTGTCTTTCTGCAGCTGCATCTGGGTCACTTCTTGATGTCTGAACTTGATCTTCAGTCCAAGTGACAAAGACTGTTCTCTGCCTTTGCCTGTTCCCCGTGCAGTCACCAAGCACAGCCTGGGAGATGACTGTTCCTTCTCTCTCCCAGGCATC